GTGTAAAAAAGATCTTTGGCAAGGAGCATCGGTAAGACTTCAACATACTCCGTCCGGTCCAAAATAAATGATTTTTTAGTTATTTTCACACAAATTAAAAAAATTAACTTTTAATATTAATTAGTAATAAAATTGACCATATTAACCTTTACTATCTCTTCACATAAATACTCCTAACACATATTCCAACATTATTTACTCCAAGGGCAATGTAGGAAAAAAATAATTAATTCATTCTTGAAATTTGAAAAAATCACTTATTTTGGACCACAAAAAAAAACAAAAAATCACTTATTTTGGACCGGAGGGAGTAGTTACCAGCACGTGATATTTTTATTTAGTCACTATTAGTCCACAATAAGTGACCAATTTGCTTTGGGCACACCCATTAAGGAAATACTAAAATCTAGAAAAAAATAGTTAATGTGATTAAACTACCCTTAGTTAAATATTACGGCATAATTTAATGTGAGGAGTAACAACTTGTTTGGATGGTTGTTTCCCATTGTATCGTATTGTATTGTTATCCCAAAATAATGTTTGTTTTGATTGTTTTATTAAAATTGGTTGTATTGTATTGTTAAATCCATTGTTTCAGAACAATGAAAAGTCCCTTTTTTGAAACAACCGATTTGGTGAGGTGGGATTGTTTCCTATTTTTCTTTCCAACTATGCCCTAACTTGTTACTCCACAATTCTATTTTACCCTTTACCTTTTTTCTATTTTAACTCCAAATCTTCAGCCTATAACCTACTCTTTTTTTTCAGAACTTATGCCGCAAACGTTAAAGATGTTTTGGTGCCTTCTGTTTTTATTTTTCTCCTAATTTACTTTTAGCTCAATTCTAATTAGTTGTGCTCCTTTATTTTGCCTTCTTCTGTCTCACTCCTCTGTTTTCTTAAGGTGTTTTGCCTTCTTTTGTTTTGTTTCTTTAAATTATTTTTATGCATAATTTTTGATAAATTTAATATTTAAACAATTAAGGGTATTTTAGTAAACTTATCAGTTACAGTACAGTACGATACAGTCAAACCAAACAGCAGAATGTTATTTAACAATAACAAATAATACAATCTATCCAACACATTGTATTCATAAAACGATATGATACAATACGATACAGTACAATATAATACATTATAAAACGATGGGGAACAATGATCCAAACAGAGTGTAAAAAGTTTTTTAGGGATATGTACATAAAGGGTAATTTTGGAAAATAAATTGAATTTTTTCTTGATTATATAAATGGACACTTATTTTGGGTCAAAATAAAAAAAAAAAATTGGTCACTTATTGTGGACCGAAGGAATTAAGTGATAAGAATGCATAATAATAATACTATATATTATTTATTGATTTGTAAATACTATCCATAAATAAATATTTACCTTTATTGGGTATGAGCNCAATTCAGTACTTTTACGACATGTTGTGTCTTTACCTAAACAATTATCACTTAACTATAGTTGATTATTGTATCTTCTTACCTCAATTTTATCACTAATTATGTAAAGTAATTTAATTCGACGTAAACACGCCAAATGAATAAATTTATCATATGATATAATGGTTCCTGAAATACATGGACGTTACAGACATTATTTGAAATCACAATCCTGTTTCTGGATAAATTAATAATTAAATTATTTTTACTATCAAAAACTTTCGGAGTTCAATGATTCCTAATTACTCAAAGAGAGAATCAAAATCTTTTGCACCTAACACTAAACGAAACAGAAATGAACCACAATCTCATGTGTCAAGATTCACAATCAATATGGATCTCATATAAGTTGGTTTGTCTACCGATTCATTTACTTAGAGTTAGATGAGAGATGGATCATATTGAAAGTGATTTTACTTTAAGTTTCTGATTAGATTTATTCTTAAAAAAAATTAAATTTGGAGTGAATTAATTTTCTTTTTTCACGAATGAGAACCAAATTAATTAGATCAAAGCATGTCAGACAAAAGCATAACCAACCTAATCCTTGATCTGAAGAAATTAATCGAAAAATTGGTTCCAAAAGGACAAAATATGACGTGGATTTTCTCTCTTAGTCAGCGTGATATTATATGATGTGGGTGACCACCCAGACCTTCATGAGGTTTAAGTGCTTTAACAATTATCATAAAGAGCACAACTAATGCTACAATGTGATAAGAATGAGTTTTCAATTTTCATCCTACTAATAAGTTGATATCATTCAATTCTTAAAGATATTTTGTTTTGCTTATAACTTCTGCTACTTCTCGGCCATCTCAGTTTAAAAGCAATGTTTTAAAATGAGAAGATGAAACAGGGAGTCGACTCACGGAGAGACAATTAAGTGTTAGAAGGCTAATGTCTCACTGCCAAAATGGTTAAAAGAAAATATTATCTACTCATATAATCTATTAATAAATGGATTAGATAATGAATTTTTTAAAAACGGGTCAAATATGGATAAGAATTATATTATTCACTTAAAAATAGTTAATTAAATGGATAACTAATGTGTTTAACTTTTACATTTGTAAAGTCTCAAATTTGGGGTTATTCAAGTTTGGGAGACTAGAAATTCTCCCAAAAGTGATCATATTCAACAAGCCGTGGATAATATGGATATCCATATTATTCGCCGGAAAACTCGTTTTTTATCCGTCTCAGATATGGGTCAGATCAAATAATTTATCCGGATTTTTATCTTCAAAATTACCTATTTTGACCCGCTCATATCCGATCCGACCTGCATGTTTGCCACCCTTAGTTGAGACACATATCACATTCACACTTTATATCTTGCAATATTCACTTTATATCACTACTAGAAATTACAATTATGACAACCCTTCGAAAACCATCACAATAGATATGCTAACCGCCCCTATAGGGCTATTGGGACCGATTTGGACGCGTTCCGGGATTCAGCGTTACAATAGGTCTATTGGAACGGTTATTTGCAAAGGTTTGAAAATCGTCTTCATAGATAGAGATATTGTAACGGTTTGGACTGCTACCATTGTTCTCTCTATAGGAACAGTTTTTCTTTTCTGTTGGGACGGTTATAAACCGTCCTGGTAAAATAATACAACTGATTTTTTAAGTCTATTGCAACGGTTTTGCATGATATATTGCAACGATTTTTATGATATATTGGAACAATTATCAGTACCCTATTGCAACGAATATTGTGACATATAGGAAAGGTTATTGGGGTTGTTCTTATTATTTGCTAGGTCTATTGGAACGGTTATATTCTCTATTGCAACAAATTATAATTTCTGATATTTATGGAAGCAAAATAAGAAATATTTTCCTATTCTATAAAATTGTTTACACCACCATATTCAACTAGCATTATCCATGTACAAAACAAAATGTGGATACATTGTTTGGTCAACAATTCAAAAGTCAAAATAGACAAGTTTGCATGCAAAAAGTTCTAAACTAAAATATCCTTAAACATAATAATAGAAAGTCTAACAACGATCAACAACACTCAAGTAAGATCTTTGTCATTGCTTTCATCCGGAATTGCTGCACTTACAAAAGACAATGAGAAATAATTTTAAAAAAATATTTAGGATAATTGAGTCATAAAATACTTAAAGCAGCTTCAAGCACAAATTCAGTTGATAAGCAATGCAAGAAACATAGAATCTCAAATGATGATGCCTCCAGTACTGTCTACTCTAGGATTAATGCAACCACATATTCAGATGCCTTTACTAGCATGGGTGTCAATCTTGGCATTTCACCATTAATGCTTAACAATATGACTGCTAATAATTGAATCACAAAGTAATTGAATGACCAATTTGATAACTCGAAAATTTTCACTCTCTAAATTCTTAAATTTTTCGGCAAAGTTTCCTTTGTAAATATGACTATCGCAAAATTTTCAACCCGCTCAAAACATCATTTGTAAATACAACTATGCAGAACCTACTACGACTGACAACTACTGAACCAAAACAACATCACCTAAACAATATTATGTTTGACAACTATTGAACCAAAACAACAGCAGAATATGCTATTACGAAAAACAACATTATACCCAACAACTGAACATACTATGGCTTAGGAACAAGCAAAGTCTCTCAACTTTCGCTTTCTCTCTTAATTTTCTTACTCGTTTTATTTCTTAGCAAAAGAACAACCCCACCTTTACTAGCCAACTCAAAATCTATGTAGCAATCACCTAACCAATATTTTCTAAACATGTCCTTTTGAAAATCGTTAAAGCCACTCAATTACTTCACGATCTCATGTAACAGGAATGAATTCACAAAATCAGTATTTATAAAAGAGAAGAGGAAAGCAAAGAGACAATGGTTTTGGTGACATAACATAAGGCCCTGCAAAACCAAAAAGAAGACTCCCCAATAAGGATTTATACAAGTTTAGAAGAACGGTGAATCAACTATGTTCAAGGCAGTTGACAAATTCAACCACATCACAAACATCAGATGACCACCAACATTCGCATATATATATATATATATATATATGGATCAAGACCCTAATTTGTTTTATCAACTTTAGGGATTTTATTTCATGCAATATTAAATCAGTACTTTTTCATTTTAAATAAGCAATATTAATACCTGGAATGAGTTGGCCTTATTTGTTGCTATCGGTAGATGGACAACGGATTGGTTGCAAAGTTGGTTGTTGTGCAGAAGAAGCTTCCCCTGGAGAATTATCACCCAATGTCGCTAGAATAATGTTAGCATCAATATCAATTCCTGAATGTTGAGGTCGTGCAAGGACATCTACAACATCTTCTTGACGGATAATTGTCTTTTGTTCCTCAATTTTTTCCTCCATTCTTTGTATCTTCTCCTCCATTTTTTGTAGATAATTTGTAGTATTTGAAGATGATTCAAAACATCCTACTTTCTCTCTCAAAGAAGTTCTTATAGCCCCTCGTCCATACAATCTCAGACGTCCCGGATGTTCAGGTCCCATGACAGATACAAATGCATATACGGACTCATTGCCATTTTCGTTTTGATATGCTTCAATTTCCTCTATTGCAGCCTTCAAAGAAAATTCAAACAATCAGAACAAGTAAATAAAAAGTAAACTAATAAAAACAAATAATTGATCTCGATATAACTTCAGTTAAGTATAATTCGCACAATTTTACTAGTTGTATCTTCATCCGAGCACTTGTATGATCGCCCATCTTTTCTTTTTCTTGTAGCTACAAAGACTTCCTTTGCTGATAAAGGATCCAAAGTTTCCTTATCATTTTCCTAGTTACATGAAAGTAAGTTAGCATTCCTGGTGATCTACCACATATACATATACACATGCTCATTATCTAAATGAACGAACAGTTAACGAATAAGACATGAATACTCAAAACAACTATGAGCTTAGATTTCCCAACAAGTAAAGTTGAGTTGGCAAGTATTAAGATCCAAACTGCTGTTACAAGGAAACACCCAAGGTTCTAAATGATGGTAATACATATTGATATCAAACGAGATACAAATGACACCTAATGCAAATGAGAGAATGGCCAGTGAACATTAAAGGAAACAAGCAAAGGTGAGATAGCAGATGTGTTACACTTTAAATGGACTCTGTGATACACAAATCATGAGCTAAAACATTGTTTTCTAGCATAGAAACAGCTTCTGCAAGAGCTAATTATCCCAAATTTTCCACATCTCAAACACTGTAATTGTAGTTTCTCAACCGAAGTTTCTATCTCCAAGCTGTCTATGGCTATGTATTAACTGAATAAGACTTCTTCCAGTAGTTCATCCTATGTATATCTTAGTGTCGAGATTCATAGTTTTATTGATAGAAAAGAAAAATATTGACTTAGTTGAATTTCTATAGCTGACTGGAAATTGGCCTAGCTCAAGCACATCATTTTCACCAGGTAGTGAAATGTTAGATACGTACTTCCAGTTTTACGAAATACAACACTCCACATAATTGGAACATATAATAACGTAGTGGTATCACAATAACATAATTTGAATGTGTTAGCCAATGGTGCCAAAATAGTAAAACCCTATTTGACAACTAAGGATTGTAACAGAGCTAAAAGAAGTAGTAAAACATGAGTCCAACGAGATAACTCATAATTAAAAGAGCTCGTGCTACTACAGACATAAGACCTTTCTTTACTCGGGCAGTACAAATAAGTGACTCGTAGTATCATGGGATGTGCAGTAATGACGTTAGTGTCAACAATCAAATTAAGGATTTTTAGAGCATTTGTGCAATATATCAAATAGGAAATAGACTGGACTAGATTTCAATTATAACCTTGGTCGACCATGGGATGACTCTTCTATTAAATAGAAATTACTAAGAGTTTGTGCCTCATTTAATCAGTCACAACTTGAAACTAATCAAGTGATTATCTTACAAAAATTAAATGAAAAATAACCAATTCTTAACTTAAAGTTGGGAGTAAAAGAATACATGAACTTCCCCTCTTAGCATAGAAAAGATTAGCAAAGGAGCATATTTAATTAATTGATCATCGAATGATGTTAGTCAAATACCGTGAGCAAAAACTATATTTTCTGGATGAGGAACCAAACATACAAATATCCAAGATAACACGTAGTTCAAGATAAATAACCTAGGACCTTCTATGCTAGTCTCTAATTACAGACATGAGGCAAGTCGATGATAAAAGGGTGAGAAAGCGGTCCGGCCATCTCAGTAGAGCACTCTCTCGATGTGTTTTGGGGGTTCACGTATTATTTCCAATTTTGAAGATGCTCGAGGGAACCCCATCAACTCCTCTAATATCTTCAAGTATTCGCTTTCATGAATAGCATTTTTCGATAAACTTTACTCCATGCATTCCCACGTATAATACAGAATAACGATTTTCAGAATAACGAACAAGACAACGAACATCGAACATTGATAGCAAACATCAAATCTCATGGTTTCTAACACAAAATCAAAACCTAACAAATAAATCCCCCAATTTCGCAAACTAAAAATCATAAAATATATCGCATAATACAAGCAAAACAGAAGCAAAATAATGGGTTTATCAGAAATATTATCAAAAAAAGAAAATAGAAGGAGCAATGAAATAATTTTTCAGACTAGGGAAGAAGAAAGCAAAATCGAACAGTAACAGCAAACATCGAACAGGTAAAAACCCGAAAGCCTACCTCGGAGATTGTGGTATGTTAGCCAATAATGATCGTCCTTCACCGGAGTGGTCAACAAAGTTCGTCGGTGTGTTCTAGGTTGATGAACAGAGAGAGGGGTGTTTGAGATTTTAGGAGAATCGTTGTCTGAGAGTGAAGTCGATGTCTTCTAGGTTAGTTTTGTGTTTTAGAGTTATTAAAATATTAGTGGGGTCCATTATTTTGTTTTTTAATAAATACCTGGGAGGAAAAGTAAGGAGGAAAAATTAAACCATCCCGATAGCTTTTTATTTCACAAAACAGTTCCCACGAATAACTTTATTGTATCGCATATCAAAACCGTCTCCACATCTATACTTATGGTGACAGTTAATACGCTATTGGAACGGTTATTGTTCAGAAGTATGACAAAAGCTTTTTGACTCTATTGAGACGGTTGAAACCGTTCCAAAATATGATCTATTGTAACAGTTACAAAATCATTGCCCAAAAGTCATTCCAATAAATTCGTTTTCAAGTAGTGTTAATACGCTTTAAAGATCAATGACTACGGATGGCTATGATAAGGGTTTTGCTAGAATAAACAATAATGACTTTTTTTTTATAGGGCGATTTTGACTAAGAAAATATAAATGTTGAAGAGAATCCCAATCCTTGTATACCATCATTAGTATTTACTGTGAGAAAATATTATTTGACCAAAAAGGTGTTAAACATTTTAGTTAAACTAATTAATGATGAGATATAGGATGAATCTTAGTTAAGAATAATAAATTTAGGATCAAATGTGTTAAGGAATCGATGTGGTGAACAACGTTTGATAGAGTTAAATAGCACGTTTATTCAATGAATACTAGTAAATGTGGTAACATAAATATGTAATAAATGTAGAGGATGTCAATGAATGTAATAAGAAGGAATCTACCACCCAATTATTATACGATTTGGATGATTCCTTCTCTTGACATCAACGTGGAAAGAAGGAAAATGAAGATGGTTATGGAATCTTCGGATCTTCTGGATAAAGACCAAGTAACATGTTGTTATACCTCGCAGTATTATATTCCGATGATGTTATACCCCGCAGTAATATATTACGATGATGTTACACCCCGCAGTATTATATCGATGTTATGCTCTACAGTATTACATTACGATGATGTTACGCTCCGCAGTATTATATTACGATGATGTTACATCATTTATTATTATACGTGAAATTGTCGTAAGATAATTGACCTTAGTTCAAGGACAAGATTATTTGGATATTATAAGCATTCTGCTATTTCAAACAAGTGATGAGGAAATTCGTGAAGGTGAGAGGGTAAGTAAATTGGAGAAAAAGAATTTTCATCAAAGTTAAATATTTTGGGATAAAATACGGCCCGAGCTAAAATACCCGATATTTATGGACTAGTACCTGTAGACATGTAATTTTTTACCCTCCCCAAAATTTTTCTTATTTTAGCACGTAAATACTTAATTTAGGCCTAATATAGCTATTTCAACTAATTTTTACTCTTTTACTTTATTATATTACAAGAAAATGAAAATTACAAAAAAAAATAGTTTCATTGATATTTTGTAGTCATTTTTTAATCTTGAAAAATACCCAAAAATAGTTTTGTTTTAACTGTTAGTCTTGTTTTAATAGTTATTTTTCTTACGTATTGTGAGCACGTGATTTTTGCCTTACGAAAACTACTCCAAAATAAATCAAAAAATAAAATAAATTTCTTTTACTGTGTAATTCTTGAATTTGCGTGGTGTTAAATATTTGTGTTATGTCCGTAAATGTTTACTTTGTNCCTAGAATCCCACCGCCTGAAACCCGACGACATCAACGCCGCCGGTCACCAAAATAACACCCTAGAACCCCCTGAACAACCTCTACACAAATCTGACCTTAGTTTCATTCGAATCAGACCCCAACTCTTCGAATACTAAATCGAAGGTGGGTCTGAAAACTCAAACCTTTCCAATGGCTTCCAAAATAACACCATAGTACCCCCTAGCATGCCTCGTTATGGATCTGAAGTTTGTTTGGCTCGAATCAGTTCCAAGCTTCTCGAATCTTCTTTTGAAGATTCGGACCAAACAAGAACAAACTCAGATCTGTTCTAAACTGACACCAAATGACCCCTAGGCTACCCTCACCCGTGTTTTATATTTGGTCCCCCCCCCCGAATCTGACCAAAAATGGTTAAGTCCCAAATCGAACCTTCAAAAAACCTAGAAATACCAGACTTTTGGAATTTTGCCCAAATTAGATAAAGATTGAGGTTTAATCGACCTTAGTCGAAGTATTTTCAGTGGAAAATACTTCGACTAAGGTCTGTTTGATTTCAAACAAAGTCCGAATCCAAGTTGAGTCCGAGTCGGAATAAAATTGAAGGATTCAAAGGTATTTTTTCTGTTTCTTATGTGTATTCTACATGTATTCTATGTTTGTTTCATTAGTCTGTTTAATTTTTCATGATTTTCTAGTCAATTCTGTTATACTGTCTCATACTCGTCTATTTGATCAGAATTATACTATTGTTTCTGTTGTTTATGAATGTTCATAATATGTGTAATCGACTCGATTAAGTTCGTCGATTAGTTGTTTTGTAAATTCTTATTGCCATTAATG